TCGGCTTGGGTCATGGTCTCAGGGTCCTGGGCTTGAGCCCTATGTCAGGCTTTCTGCTCAGCAGGGAGCCTGCTTCCCCCAACCCCGCCTGCCTCTCTGCCTACTTGTGATCTCTGTCAAATAAATACAAATCTTTAAAAAAAAAAATTATGTAATCTCTACACCCAACATGGGGCTTGAACTCATAGCCTGAAATCAGGAGTCACATGTTCCACCAACTGAGCCTGCCAGGTGCCCCTGTATTTTTTTTTTTTTTAAGATTTTATTTATTTATTTGTCAGAGAGAGAGAGGGAGAGAGAGCGAGCACAGGCAGACAGAATGGCAGGCAGAGGCAGAGGGAGAAGCAGGCTCCCTGATGAGCAAGGAGGCCGACGTGGGACTCCATCCCAGGATGCTGGGATCATGACCTGAGCCGAAGGCAGCTGCTTAACCAACTGAGCCACCCAGGCATCCCGCCCCTGTATTTTTAACTTTTAGTTGAAATATGATATACATATAGAAAAGTTCACAGATCCTAAGTATCTAGTTCAGTGAATTCTCATAAACTGAACATACCCAGGTAGCCGGCATGCAGTCAAGAAATACAGCTTTACTGACACCCTCAGTGCCCCCATTGTGTCCCCCTCCATTGACTGGAATAGTTTTGTTGTTGTTGTTGTTGTTTTAAAGATTTTATTTATTTATTTGACAGACAGAGATCACAAGTAAGCAGGGGGGGGTTGCCAAAAAGCAGGCTCCCCGCTGAGCAGAGAGCACGATGCAGGACTTGATCCCAGGACCCTGAGACCATGACCTAAGCTGAAGGCAGAGGCTTAAAACCCACTGAGCCACCCCGGTGCCCCGATTTGACTGGAATGATTTTGAGTGTCCTGTATAAGCTTCACGAAGCATTCCTCATTTTTAGGTCTCTTCCTGATTTGGGCTCTGACATTATTTTCAGTCTTTTTGCAAGAAGGAAAAAAAAAAAGACACTGAAACTTGTCACTTCCTCCTTTCATAATCTCATCTTCTTGATCAACTTGCTTCCGTTAAACTAGAGGATTTTGTGTGGCTACAAGGTCCTAATGTGAGGGACTATGAAGGTTGGATTCGAACCTGCAGCTGTGGGGTAAAACCTAAAGATATTTCCTGAGATGTCCAAGACTGAATGAAAATTTGGTTGTTGGATGCCGTGCCAGCTCAGGGGGAATGAATGAGTGAGTGAGCATGCCTTCCATCACGGGGAGTGGAGATGGAACTTCCTCGTTCTCGGAACTCTGATGAGGCTTTTTACATTCCGCGTGAGGGACGTGGGTGCTCACGTCAGTCCACAGGAAACTGAACAGTCTGGGTCGGCGCAGACTCACCTGCACGTGGTCTCGGGCTTCTCGTCTCCTCCTCTGCTCCACTGGGACCTCACTTGGGTTAGTTTGTGTCTTTTGCTGCTTTAAGCGTTTAGACATTTGAATAGGGGCGCCGGGGTGGCTCAGTGGGTTAAAGCCTCTGCCTTCGGCTCAGGTCATGATCCCAGGGTCCTGGGATCGAGCCCCGCATCGGGCTCTCTGCTCCACGGGGAGCCTGCTTCCTCCTCTCTCTCTGCCTGCCTCTCTGCCTACTTGTGATCTCTGTCAAATAAATAAATAAAATCTTAAAAAAGAAAAAAAGACATTTGAATAAAATTGAATTTGTAAGTTTCTGTTAAGTCATCGGAGCTGCAGGGTTTGCATTGTGCGGATGGGTGAGTGGAGCCGCTGGAGGGGAAGGCCTGGTGCCTGGCTCCCGGGGCGGCCCAGGCTGGCAGGGACACTCTCTCCCGGGCTTTGCCTCCAGCAGAACCAGTCTTCTTAAGTTCTAGAGTAAAGAAGTTCAGAGGCATGCACAGCACATTTTGACTTCCTGGTAAAGTGATATTCTAGCTACTAGAATGTTTCAGAGAACCAACATTTTAATTATTCACGTACATTAAAAATAAACTAAGTGCATTAATTCCCGTATTTTCCTGTCTTCCTGGGGGGAAAAGCATACTGAACACCAGGCGATACTTTTGTTCTGCAGAAACCGTCGTTCTAAACCGGTGCCACATCTGCATGTTGCCCCATAAATTATCAAGGGGAGCATTTTTAGGGGGCTTGCTTCTGTCTCCGTAAAGGTGATAAGAATGCCCGGCTGTATGAACTAGCATGCAGTAATGCAGTTCTCCTTTTCTGCAGGGTTGTTGGCCCCAAATTAAAACTGGTCTTTTCTAGGTGGTTACCTTACTCTGTTTTGATGCCCAGATGGGCCTGAGTCACTGACTCGACTCTGTCTTCCAAGAAATCTGTAGCGTAACATACACAGCGCACCATTTCGGGACCTTTAAAGACTTTTTGAAAAACCCTTCGCAAGGCTACAGGTTCACTATTGTTATTATAGGATAATGCTTTAGACGGCAATTACTAGGCCCCATTTTTCTTTAAGCCCTTCTTTTTGGTAGAGAACAACATACTGTCCTTAAACAACTTTCAAAATCTCTCCTTTGCTCTCATGCTGTTGAGTTTCCAGTGACACCTGCACAGCCATGAGCTCCCTTCTGAGGTCACTGCCTCTCAGGTGATACACATATTGGTTATATCATTGCAGGAGTTAATAAAATATAATGATTTTTTTTTTTAAGGGAAAAACTCATGAAAAGTTTTCATCGCCGAGGCTGCTGGGTTTACCTGCAGCTGTGTTGTTTTTTTCTTTTCTCAGATCTCTCTATTCACATTTATTAGCTCTTGCGGGATTTGCCACTTTAGCCAGTGCAAACCATGTTCAACTTACGACCATCACAAGTCGAAAATGCTTGTAAGAGCGCCTGGGTGGCTCAGTCAGTTGAGTGTCCAACTCTTGGTCTCAGCTTGGGCTGTGATCTCGGAGTTGCGGGATCAGGCCCCACACTGGAGCGTGGAGTCTGCTTGGGATTCTCTGCCTCTCCTTCTGCTCCTCTCTCTCCCCCCACCCCCAAATAAGTAAATAAATAATCTTTTTTTTTTTAAGATCTTATTTATTTATTTGACAGACAGAGATCACAAGTAGGCAGAGAGGCAGGCAGAGAGAGAGGAGGAAGCAGGCTCCCCGCTGAGCAGAGAGCCCGATGTGGGGCTCGATCCCAGGACCCTGGGATCATGACCTGAGCCGAAGGTAGAGGCTTTAACCCACTGAGCCACCCAGGCACCCCTAACTTTGTCTACCTTAAATGGGATCAGAACACTTAGAGTAAAACCTCCATTTAGGTGGAATCATTTAACACAAAGTCAGTTTCATAAATGAAGCGTAGACTGTCTCGTGTAATGTACTGAGTGAGAAGCAGAGCGGCTGTGGGGCAGGATGGCAATCAGTGCATCGGCTCTGGACCCTTCCGTGGCTGCCTGGGAGCTTCAGCCACCCAGCATCATGAGCGAGCACAGGATGGTGTATTTTACTAGCTCGGGGAACTATCAAAATTCAAAACTGGAAGTACAGTATCCATTGAATGCCTATCACTTTTACTCCATCATAAAGTCAAGAAATCGTAAGTTGAACCATTGCAAGTGAGGGACTGTCTTACCTACACATCACGCATTCTGATGAAACAGTCCAAGTTCTGATATGGTAAAGAGTACGGCGTCATTTAGTTTCTTGAATAAATCATTTTGTAAAGAATTTTATCAGCTTTCTTGGCGCGCCTGGCTGGCTAAGTCAGAAGAACATGTGACTCTTTATCTTGCTGTCAAGAGTTCAAGCCCCATGTTGGGTGTAGAGATTACTAAAAAAATAAATAAATAAACAGACTTAAAAAGAACTTTACCATCTTTCTTATAGAACTTTGTTGCATAGTGTAGATTAACTGCCACTGTACTGGTCTCTCTCTACTTTCTTGTGTTTAGCACTTTTGAGTTGGGCTCATATTTCTATTTTCTCTCTTAAGCCACCAACTTTTTAAAATGCCTCTGCCTGGGCAGAGTCCTAGGGCACCTGGGTGGCTCAGTTGGTTGACTGTCCCAACTCTTGATTTCGGCTCAGGTCATGATCTCAGGGTCGTGAGATTGAGCCCCCACATTGGGCTCTGTGCTGGACGTGGAGCCTGCTTAAGATTCTCTATCTTCCTTTCTCCCTCTGCCCCTCCCCTCACCAGAAATAATAAATGCCTTCTGTCCTTTGCCTTTTGTTAGAAATCTAGAATTCAGAGGTGGCTTTTCTACTACACCTATTCTGTTCCTTGTACTACCCTGTGACGTCCTGGCCTGGCCCATCCGTGTAACGAGGAGCAGTCTGGGACTTCAAATCTGTGCGTGATGTGCTAAGACACAGCCTTGAGTAGTCATGTCGCATTTGTAGAGAGTGTTTCCAGTCTGGGAATGCAATGTTACAGTTTTATAGTCTCTGGATCTTCCCCCGTGAACTAGGCTAGTGGTTGTGCTTCCAGCATTCCCTAACTCAAGCCCATTGTGGCCCTGAGGGTAAGTGGAGTAGGACTTGGGGTGCTTTTTCGCTGGAATATGCTTTGTGTGTGAGGACACGTGGGTGGGTGGTGCCTGCTAGCAGCAGCTGGACACCTGTTTGGTGGCTGACCCGGGATTGGATCCCTGTGATCCTGAAGATGGCCCAGAGGAGCTCTAGAGAAGTCTTGAAGCTCTCCCTGCAGCTGCTGCTCCCTGCAGGCTTATTTAGTCCCTGGGGGGCCCCCTTCATTCTCCAGCACCAGCGCTTGCTGGTTTCCGGAGACTTCATTTCACCTGTCCTGCTCCCATCTGCTTTCCTACCCGAGGGGTTAGTGCTAGAGGTTCGGGGGTCAGACTCTCTTTTTCAGAGACCATTTCTTTTACTTTTAATTTGATTTTAACTGTAAGAGTCGATGTGCTGGTTGTTTGAAGTTGTGTGATGTCTTGGGTCATGTAACTGTTCACACTTCAGAGAACCAAACAAACCTGAATGGCAACATAGTTGTCTTAACGGCTGCCTTTTTTAAGAGTGTGAAAAGGAAATGATTTGATTTCCCCCCCTCCTTATTTCTTTTTAGGTTTTGAATGAAGAATGTGATCAGAACTGGTACAAGGCAGAACTCAATGGGAAAGATGGCTTCATCCCCAAGAATTATATAGAAATGAAACCACATCCGTAAGTTGGACACTACTGGTCTTCCAAGAGTCAGACCCATCTGCTTATTTCAAATAATGTTTTATTTTAATTTATAATGTTTTTAAAATTGAAGTCCTTGGGATGGTTGTCATACCTTTTACTCTGTCTTCCCAGAGAATTCACAAGGCATGTTGATTTTGCATGTTAATAGTACGATATAATAATAGTCCACGCCCAGCACAGAGCCCGCTGCGGGGCTCAGTCTCACGACCCTGCGATCATGACCTGAGCCAAAGAGTCAGACACTTAATTGACTGAGCCACACTGATGCCCCAGTGGTGCATGTTTTAGACTGATCTTTAATGAAGTAGTTGTTTCGTTTAAAACAATAGTTTCTATGCTAATACGTAATAAAGTACATGTCTTGGATTGATAATAGCTCTTGGTGATCTTCAAATAATAAAACTATAGAAATGCCTTTCCGTGATTCTTTTTCATAAAACCCCTGAGGCCAGATCTCTTTCATAATTCTCCATTTTTTGAGTCTTAGAAAGTGTACTTATCACATGGTTTTGTTGATATGTTTGATTGCCCTATAGCACTGTATCTTAATAATTTTTGTATCCCCAGAGCAGTGTTTGGCAATATAATAGGTTCTCAATAAATGCTTGTTATAATTACTGTTCTTGCTTACCACTTAGGGTTCCCACTTCAGAGAATTCAAAATAATCTCCTACCCCAGGCCGTTGAGAGCAGGGAACTTTTTTCTTCTTCCCTCGGAACATCCCCTCCCCCACTCAGTTTATATTGGTATGTGACGTGGTGGGGCTGTGGGAACCCTTGATGTAGTGGGGCCGTGAGAACCCTTACCGACCACCATTCTCTCACTTGCACCCTCCACCTCCTCCTCTGGCCCTGCTCCTCCTCCAGCGGCGGTCCCTTCCGTCCCTCGTATGTCAGGGAGCTGAGGCTCAGTGCCCAGACTAGAATGCCACTGGGACAAGGAGGAGCAGTAGTGTCTGTCTACTTAATTTAACACAAATGATAAGTAAGATCTTTGGATGACATGACCCACCTTGAGTGGCAGCCCATTTGTCCCTCTTCTTGTGTCGCTGCTCTAACGCGTGCCTGTCCTTTCTCTTCTCCGGAGCCTCCAGAACAGAGATCTTAACTGCATCTGCTCGTACACAGCTCAGTGTCACAGAGTTCAGAGGGGCCTCCGATCATCTAGTTCATTCCTCTTTATCTTAAAAATTAAGAAAGCTTCTGGTATTTTTATTTCAATGCCAGTAATCTATGAATTTGGTTCACTTTGTAAAAGACAGTGTAGAAAACCATAGAGCAATATAGGAGTTTCTCCCCACGTACCTCGCCCTTTTGGAGGTTACCACCATGGCAATTAAATGTAAGCCAATTGCTGTCTTTTTTTTTTTTTTTTTAAGTAGGCATAAAAAAATCTTCAAAGGTGTATGTGGCAGGGATTCCTGGCCCCCTGTCCGTGGATTAATAATGCCCTTTGTTTGAAGTCCCTGTAACACTAGATTAGGGGGTTATTTTTTGTAAGATTTTATTTATTTATTTGAGAGAGAGCAAGAGGGGAGAGGTCAGAGGGAGAAGCAGACTCCCTGCTGAACAGGGGACCCACCCCACCCCCACCCTGATGCAGGACTGGATCCTGGGACCGAGGATCATGACCTGAGCCAAAGGCTGATGCTTAACCAACTGAGCCACCCACACGCCCAGATTAGGGGCTTACACACATCATGCCCGGGTTACTAAAATGTAGGCACACGTGGTAGTAACCAAGAAACTCCAAAAGATGAACACAAGACACTGTAGATGTCCTGGGAAGTGGACTAAGCACAGCTTTGCACTCTTGTAGCCACGTAGTGTCTGTGTGCACTGTGGGGACTGTGTGGGCTTTTCACGGACAGCATCACGGAGTGCGCTCCCCAGGGAGAGGCAGTTGGTAGCGGTTCCTGGGAGTGGGAGCGGCTCTGGATCATACAGTGGCTCCTCCCTCTGTCCGAATACACCAGATATGCTGTATACATCTGTTCCTTCAGTCGGTCCTCAAAATAGATGGAGCGGTGGCTAAACTGTATGTAAAGGACAAGATGATAAATATTTTAGACTTTGAGGACCATATACACTCTCTGTCATTTCACGTATTCTTGAATTTTTAAAAATAACCCTTTAAGGGTGGCTCAGTGGGTTAAGCAGCTGCCTTCGGTTTAGGTCATGATCCTGGAGCCCTGCCCAAGCCCCACATCGGGCTCCCTGCTCCACAGGGAATCTGCTTCTCTCTCTCTCCCTCTCTTCTTCTCTCTCACTCGCTCACTCTCTTAAATAAATAATCTACCTACCGTAAAAAAAAAAAATTAATTAACCCTTTGAAATTTTGTAAAAGTGGGGCACCGGGGTGGCTCAGTGGGTTAAACCTCTGCCTTCAGCTCAGGTCATGATCCTGGGGTCCTGGGATCGAGCCCCACATCGGGCTCCCTGCTCAGGAGAGAGTCCGCTTTTCCCTCTGACCCTCTCCCCTCTGATGTTCTCTCTCTCTCTCTCTCAAATAAAATCTTCTAAGAAAAATTTTGTAAAAGTCTTAGATTGTGGGCCATACAGAAACTGGACATATTTGGGCCGAGGGTTCATAGTGTTGCTGGCTTCTACACTCGATCCAGTAATCATGGAAATCAACCTCAGTTCCTTTTCATTTTCGTATTTCCAGGCTGAAAGGGAATTCAGCAAAATATCATACTCTGTAATGTTTATATTAAATAAAATGCCTATGGCTCTGTGTCCTTGTTTTCCTTCGGATTGTTTGAAATGACATAGGCCATTTGAATCCGACTGTTGAGAAAACACAGGAAAGGCCTCCTTCCTGGGAAAGCACAGGTTACTGTCCCAGTTGCCTGATTGCTGGGTTAGCCCTCGAGGAAGACTCTTGCCCTGCCTCACCCTCTGTAAAGGTCCTCTCTAAAGAACTCTGGAAGAAGAGTTGATGGGAAAGCCTCCAGGGGAGCTTCCGTGCTGGTGTTTTTTGCAGAGTCTAGCTGAAGGGCAGGGAGTGCCCCCCCACCCCAGGCAACGCTCTGAAACAGGAAACCGTATTGCTGAAGGGACCGTGGCCATGGGCCTGTGGAGTGGTTGGCCTTGGGGCACACATTGTGTTCTGGGACTGCTCTGTGACTAGACTTCCAGAAGTACAGGGTCCATGTCCCTCCCGTAGCAGCAGGAGAGCACTGAGCACCAAGCCCCTCTTTCCTCTCTCCTTCTTCTCCCCCCCCTCCCCCCACCTTCAGTTTTTGCTAGGAAGAGGGAAGTCTCCAGTGAAGTAGGACCTAATATAGCTTTCGAGGTAACAAGTTAAACGCAGATGAGGAAGCGGTTACCGGCTGGTGTTGGAACACACTGTCGTGCGCATTGGGGGTGGGTCCAGATCTGAGCTTCTCACAGTGGGTGCATATGGATGGAAGCCTGTGGAATGTCGTGAAGAATTAAATTGGAAAATGAGCCACCTCCTCCGGTTAGCTTTCTCCTTTGCTATTTGTGTTGTAGTACAAACCCATCTTTTAAAGATTTTTAAAATTTTGACCATAGCCACGTAGTTAACACTCATCACTGTTGAAATGTCTAAACGGAGAGGGACCGCTCTTCTTCATGCAGTGCGGATACCCTTTATGTTATGGGACGTCCTCAAGAGAAAGAGGGACAGAGTTTAGTAAAAAATGGAGACAGATACAAAAGAAGGCTTTAATAAAATGGTCTACAGCTGATTTTCTATTTTTCAGTCTGGGGGCTTGTCATGGAAAGTTCCAGTTGAGAGTTTCTATTTCACTGAAGTTTATCTTTTTTCACTGAGAATAAAACCGACTTCATCTTCAGCTGGGGGCTGGAAAGCCCTGCAGCCATGTCCGCATACGCATCAGACGCCGGGGCCAAGGTCCGCGCAGAGCTGCCGGCACTTGCTGCCTCTGGAGAGCTGTGGGGGAAGTCTTTTTTCACTTCAGGAACATCTAGGCAGTTTTTAAAATTCATATTCATTATTTTAAAACAGGGGGAAAGAAAGGAAAATACCTGCTTGGTGGGCAGATCTTGGGGGCTTGGGAGGAAGAGAGAAGAGAATGGCTGCTGAGTGACTTTACCCCCTCCCCAGGCCATGCTTATTGCCCGCGGGCACATCACAAACTTGAAGGCTCTAGAGATTACTATAGAAAATCTCTCAGTGGTCTTAGTATCGCCAGCCGGCCTTTCCTAGTTGGAGATGATTCTGTTGTATCAATGTGTAATTTCTCTTGTGTGGCCTGACTTCCAGGCACTGGGGGGCTTGTCTTTGGGTTATTTCTAGAAGCTAGATCCTAGCAGCTCCTCAGCAGCCTGGTGGCATTGTAATACTCAAAGTGAGAAAGACACAAGAAGGTCGATTTAAGAACATTTACAGATTAATCCAATTAATGGCAGCTTCTGGTCAGACCTAACTAGCAGCTCACCTCTTTCTGTTTGAGGTTTTTGTGTTTTTTTTTTTTTTTAAGATTTATTGATTGAGGGGCGCCTGGGTAGCTCAGTCGGTAAGCATCTGCCTTTGGCTAAGGTCATGATCCCAGGGTCTTGGGATCGAGGCCCGCATTGGGCTCCCTGCTCAGTGGAGAGCCTGCTTCTCCTTTTCCCCTCCCTCCGCTTGTGTTCCCTCTCTCTGTGTCGAATAAATAAATAAAATCTTTAAAAAGATTTATTGGTTGATTCAGAAAGAGAATGTGCAGGGGTCAGGGAGCAGACTCCCTGCTGAGCACAGAGCCAGATGCACGGCCTTGGGGCTCAATCTCATGAGCTCATGATCACGACCTGAGCCAAAACCAAGAGTCGGACACTTAACTGACTGAGCCACCCAGGCGCCCCAGATAGGTCTTTATTAGCTATAAGTAATATCACTGCTTTTTAAAATAACAGCGCTTAGAGACAGATTTGAAGAGAGAACAGTTTTTGCAGTTCCCCCATCCTAATTAGTAATGGTTTTCATGTGAAATAGCGGCTGTGACTTTAAGCTTTTCTCACCCTTCCTGCTCCTCCCCCCCACCTCCTCCCCTTCTTCCTCCATGGGCCAGTTGCCCCATAGTTTTGCATGAATTCACCCACTTTTTCCTGTGGCCAAGGTGAATTCGCACTGGGAGCAGAAGAACCCATAACCTGTTTCAGTGAAAAAACCGAGTCTTGCAACGAGCTGCCTCTGTGTAGGATACGCTGTGACGTTGCTGCTGGTGCCCGGAAGCTCCCAGCAGTGATGGCAGAGAGAGGTCTCGAGAGGGATGTCACAAAATCTGCCTTTGTGACAGCAGATGCTTCTCTCTCAAGGCCTGAACCTCTTCACCTTGGGCTGTTACGAGAAGTAGCCCCGTCTCCAGTTTCGGGGCCTTCCAGTTTCCTGCCTCTGTTTACTTTAATCCCACTGTAGCAAAGCTTCGACCTTGTCAAAAGGCTGCGAGAAGAGGCCTGTCTCTTACACGGTTCTTCCAGTGCTTCATACTGATAGACCTGGGCTTTCCCCGGTGCCCTGAGTCAGTAGGGAGCCTGGTGGGCTCGGGCCCAGAAGGCCCAGCTTTAAATGTCTTCCTCTTTAAGAAGAGTGGCCCACAGTCATGCCTCATGAGTCACTTTCTGGAGAATAGGGTAGGGTAAAGGCGTTTGAAGGGAGATGGTCCGTGTCTCGAGAGAGAAGCCGACTGAGTGGTTTGTGGGACATGTTGACACTGGAGGGTGAAAAAGGAGGCCCCTTCCTTTGGCAAGAAGTGTTCTGTTACTCACATTTTGGAGGCTGGATATCCCGTCTCTTTGTGGGGAAGCAGATGTTGACTGGCTTGTCTTCCTTCCTTAGGTGGTTTTTTGGCAAAATCCCCAGAGCCAAGGCAGAAGAAATGCTTAGCAAACAGCGGCATGACGGGGCCTTTCTCATCCGAGAGAGTGAGAGTGCCCCCGGGGACTTCTCCCTCTCTGTCAAGTAAGTACTTCCCGCTCTGGTCCCCGGAGGCCTCTCCCTGCTGATCGGAATTGTGTCTGGCTACACACACCGAAGGTTGCCAACCGATAGTGGTTTAGCCTAATAGTGGTTTACCAAAGCAGAATATTTTACATTAAAATAGTAATTTCTGAAAAAAAAGTGCATTGTAAAATAGTAATTTCTGGCTCCTCTTAAACATTAGTTCTTCCAATACGGAGCGTCGGTTCCTGTGTGGAAACAGTCTTCAGTTGGTCGCATTTTCCCTGTTCCCCCACCCCTCCACTGTTCCCTCTGCTTGCACATGCCTCTTTCCTCGATTGGCCTCTAGGGGATCCCCGCCGCCCATTCTGTCGGTATGACTGGTCACCCTTTTAGCTGGTTTTGGGGACCTTTACCAGATGTCTAGCTTAAATCCTCCACCACCGTCCTGGGCCTCTCAATTTAACTTTAAAAGGTTACCACAAGGGTGGGGGAGTGTTTTGCTTTCCCCAGTGGTAAAATGTGCAGAGGAGCTGGTAAGCAGGGAATGAGGAAGGCAGGGAGTTTACCACCCCAGGAATTGTGGAGAACCTAAATTGGAATTTTGAGGATTTCAAGCACATCACTTCTCATCTGCGAAATAAGGATTTTTAATCAAATTGTCATTTCCATATGTGTTTTGACTCTGCCCTTTCTAGTTAATATATTACCACAGGAACCCCAGATCACTGGGTATTATATGTAAGTGATGAATCACTAAATTCTACTCCTGAAACTAATATTCTACTATATATTAATGGACTAGAATTTAAAAACTTGAAGGCGGGGGAGGGGAGACTCAGATCACTGTTATAGATCACATTGATTATTTTTACATGAAGACCATAAAATAGTTTATTTGCCATTTGCAAACAATGTAAAGATTTTTCCGTTTTCAAAATTAATCTTGTTTCTTCTTAGGACCAGTATAGGTTTTTTGAAATGTAGATTTAAACTTAATTTGTATATTCTTTTTCTCAGTGAAAGTATGGGAGGTGGTTTTAGGCCATATGCACACCACCACACAGAAGTTAGTTTTTAGTCCCAGCATGAAAATATTAAACCGGATCTGTCCTCTGTTTTCCTTACATTTCACACTGACCCGAGTCGAAAACAGTCCAGAACGAGGAGTGCAAGCAGTTACTCGCAAGTGAATTGACTGATGGCCCCACCGGGGTAGCGGGCAGAGTGCAGGGGAGGCCTTGATTACACCAGTCGCTGCGCGTGCTCATGTGGTAGCTGCTGGCGAGCTCCCAGACCATTATTCCATTTTATCAAATAAAAACTTAAAATCCATGCGTTTATTGTTTTAGAAATAAAATTTGAAACAGATATCATTACCACCTTTAACAACACAAAGACTTTCTCAAAGGAGTTTCCAGAATCCAGTCTCTAAAAGGTTTCTCTAGTCTCAGGGTGGGAGTCAGTGATGAAAAACACCATGGCAGGTAACAGGTCATTGTCTGGGACCCTGTGCACCTTGTGGAAACCGTCTGCATGGCTGCCGTGGGAGTGGGCTTTTGTGGGGCCAGAAGCGGGGCGTGGATGTGTCTGCCTTCCTCACCGCAGGCTTGGATTCGAGTGAAAAAAGCAGCTCTGGTTCTAACACTTGGGATCTCCTACTTGAAGCCCAGTGCTGCCACCTACTGGGTGGTTTTTAAGAAGTTTTTCATTTCTTTCCCCACTGACGACTGAAGGAGAGGAGACCGCGTGTCCTTCATTTACATGTCTTCGTAGAGCGCTGTTGGAGGCCTGGGTACTGGCGTCCGTGCCAAGGACCCAGCAGCAAGCAGGACAGGCAGAGCCTCGCCTGGCTTGTCGGGGGTGATCCGCTCCTAGTTGCAATCCCACTTCTGCAGGCCGGTGTGAGGAAAGGCGTGTTATCCGGTGATCGAGAAACCTCGGGACACCGGGTGCCTCAGCCTCTTGTATTTATTGGCCCACGACGTTCCATTCTGAGACCTTTCGCCCATGAGTAGAACTAAAATCCCTAAACGGAAAACATGATCTGTACTCCAGTTGCAGGAGAGCTGTTGAAAGTGTGTCCAGTCCCTCCTAGCTCTCCCTCCTATCCCACCTCTTGTAGATTTTAAATATCACCTAAGGTTTTAATGGGTGTTTGTTGGGTTTGTTTTTTGCTTGAAAAGTTAATGAAGTCACACTCTTCCTTGAATAAGACTCTGTTTGGCTTGGTACAGTGCAGGGCACGTGGAGACATGGCATAGGTTAGGACATTCTTTATTTTACAGACATCTTCAGAATTGACCTGATGGACAGGGTTTCCCTCTCTGGCAAGGAGTCTCACTATTGTCACTGGTAATCATCAGTCCCCCAGAGGGCTCTCGGGGGCACTCAGCGTCCTAACTGCAGCCAGGGAGCTGTGTTGTGCTACAGTCCAGGGCCCCTTGGGCCGTGAGAAGTGTTGCTGGAATCCGAGTTCTCACAAGACGCCTCCTTGATCTGATGGGCGCGCGGCCCCCTGGTAGCCGGGACTGAGCCCTCTGACCTGCCCTCGTGTGTGTTCTCTGCCCTCCCCAGGTTTGGAAATGATGTGCAGCACTTCAAGGTGCTCCGAGATGGAGCGGGAAAGTATTTCCTCTGGGTGGTGAAATTCAATTCTCTGAACGAGCTGGTAGATTATCACAGATCGACATCCGTCTCCAGGAACCAGCAGATATTCCTCCGGGACATAGAACAGGTGCCACAGGTGAGCCTCCTCGAGAGATCGGGATCATCTCCGGCAATTAAGAGTAGCTCCTCGGGCAGGCAGGCGCCTTCTCAAAGGAGTCCTGGGGCTTCTGTGCTCACTATTCAAAGTATTGCCTGTAGTTTGTGTTACTGATGTGTAGTTCGAAACAAAATGGTTTTGCCTTTCCCAGAGGCTGCTCTTCCGAGGCGGTGCGTTGCCAGGTACCACCTATGTCTCTGTGGGAAAACGGTCTTTAATGCCCTCCGCTGTCGTATCCCCGGAAGCAAGGGCGGAGGCAAGCCTCGATTGTGAGGTTCCCGTCTTCCTGTGCCTGCAGCCCCAGCGCTGTGTTAGGGGGAGCCCCGCCTGAGTAGAGTCAAGCTCTTGACCTTTCGACTCCATAAAACCTTAAGGACTTCATAAGCAATAAACCGATGGGAACTGAAGCCTTTTCCAAGCCTGGGGTTGTAAACCAGAGCCTGACTGCTGTTTCCCAAGTTCCTCCCTGACGGACGGCGCTCGCTTCCACGCCGTGGCGGGACGAGCCCTAGCACGTTCTGGCCTGTCGGGAGCCGTGGTGAACCTAGCCTGCTCCCACGTAGGGTAGACCGAGAACCTGGAAGGATACACAGAGCGGGTGGGGGGTGTCGGAGATGGGAGGTTGTCGCGGGAAACATGGAGGAGTCCTCGGCACACGGAGGTCGCGCTCTCGTGACCAGTCCCCCCCAAGCAGGGGGCTGGCTGTGAGCAGAGACCGAGCAGGTGTTCTCTCCCCGCCCCTCTTCTGCAGCAACCAACGTACGTCCAGGCCCTCTTTGACTTTGATCCCCAGGAGGATGGAGAGCTGGGATTCCGTCGGGGAGACTTTATCCACGTCATGGATAACTCAGACCCCAACTGGTGGAAGGGGGCCTGCCACGGGCAGACCGGCATGTTCCCCCGCAATTACGTCACCCCTGTGAACCGGAACGTCTAAGAATCAAGAAGAGATTATTTAAAGAAAGTGAAAAATTTAAAACACAAAATAATGAAACCCACGAGCTGCCTTAACAGCAGCCTGTGAGGGAGCTCAGAACACCTGTCCGGGTCACCTGGTGACCTCCTCACTTTGGTTGGAACTTTGGGAGGGGTGGGAGGGGGCGTTGGATATAAAAATGCCAAAACTTACCTATAAATTAAGAAAAGAGTTTTTATTACAAATTTTCACCGCTGCTCCTGTTTCTCCTTTGTCCTCTTTTTCATCCTTTTCTTCTTCTGTCCATCAGTGCATGACGTCTGATGCCACATATAGTCCTAGCTGATGCCAATAATAAAAGAAAAGAAACCAAGCAGGCTGGTATTTTCTCTATGCAAAATGTCTGTTGTAGTCGAGTTACTGAAGGAAGGACAGCCGTGGCTGGGTTCCTCGTGCGCACACAGGAGAGGGCGGGCGGCGCTTGCTGGGCGGTTTCTGCCAGACGGGGAGGGAGGGCAGCCCCCGGCCGCCAGGTTCTTGCGACAAAGTTGGAAATGGAGCAGGGGCAAAAGGAAGGACTGTTAACCCCTCATGGCTTCCTGAACAAAGTCAAACTAAAAACCTTTGTCTCTTTTCTACATTGTTTCCCTTCCACGTGGCATTACTGAGCATGTTGGTTTTTTCCTAGTGCCTTTTTCCTTATTTCAAGAGTTGCTTATGAGTGGTGTTTTTTTATTTGTTTTAAAATAAGTTAAAGACAGTCTGGAGCTTTTTCAGCCCATTTGTCTCCTCCTCTGTGTAAATAGTCCTCCCCCGGGGGAGGGGAGAGCAGGTGGAGGAGACAAGTGCGGGCAGGGGGTGCGGGCGGTCTGCCTCTTAGCCATGAGTCTTTAAGGTTCAGCTTTAATGTTTGTCAGCCCTCTGGCGTCCGCAGTGGCTGTCCCAGGGGTGCGGAGCCGGCCGCTGCTGGGGAAGGAGGAGATGGTCCAGCTCTGTCCAGCTCTTCCCACCTCGGACTGGATCTGGCTGCAGGGGGCTATGAGAGCCCTTGACCTTGCGAACCCGGCTGGTGCCTGCCCCTCCTCCGCTCCAGCGCCCCACAGAGAAAACACCCTGGAGCCAGCAAGTTTCAAACACAGGAAAGCCTAAGGGACTTCAGCTGTTGCTCTGTGACCGGATCGGGTTATATACTGTGTTCCCACACTGGGGTGGAGCCTGGGAGCTTGCATTTTTCTTGCTCTGAAAATCCGAGGTATCCGTTCATGGCTTTCATCTTCTGTGTCCCCTGCCTGGCCTGCCCGGTGAGCACGAGGGCAGCGTGCGGACAGCAGCCGGGTTTTCGAGGCTCCGTCCGCAGTGGGCTGTGTCTGTAGCTGCTGCCCCTTCTCCCCCAAGGAAGTGTCTCGTGAAGCAGGGACGGTTGGGGAAGGACGAGTGGGAAATGTAGGAAGGCCAAGGCCATCGCAGAGCTCCCTCTTCCGCCTTGTCAGCTGCTTGTCCCTCGTAGTGATGTGCCTGTGAACTTTCTCCTCCCGATCCCCTGCCGGCAACAAAAACGGGGCTCCCCGGGAGCTGGTGACGGCCTTTGGGTTCTGAAGTGGTCGATTGGAGTCTCCCCTGGACTCTGCTTATGGAGCCGGACTCAGCCCAGAGTGCTCAGGCCCCGGAGGCAGCTGCTCTTCAGGACAGCGCACCCCCCCCTCTCGCTCCCTTTCTGGTAGCTTCTTTCCTCGGTGATGATAAAAGGAATCTCTGGCATTCTACACCTGGACCATTTGATTGTTTTATTTTGGAATTGGTGTATATCATGAAGCCTTGCTGAACGAAGATGTGTGTGTATATATTTAAAAAAAATCAGTGTTTAATAAATAAAAAGACCTATGTACTTAATCCTTTAACTCCGTGGATAGCATTTGGTAGGTAGTGATTAACTGTGAATAATAAACATCCAGTGAATTCTTCACTCTGTATCTTTTCTCTTTTTTCCACCCCCCTCTTCCGCCTTACTTAAAATAAAAACCTAAAAGCCATGTCAAGTGTCAGGCAGGACTCCCGTGTCCTATTTTCCCACTCGCCCAGCTCCCCGGGGGTGCGCGTGGATCTTGCTGGGCCCGGAGAGTTGCGCGGCCAACACTCAGCGGCTCATCGGAATCCCTGGGGCTTGTTCACAGTGTGGACGCCCAGCCAGCGCCCTTGGGAGCTGGGAGATGGTGGCTGAGGCCAGGCCTAACCACAACGCGCCGGCTGGTGTAGACCAGACAGTGGTGTTTAGGGAGAGCATGGACAGAAACTAAACCCAAGGAATTTCCACTTACATTGTTGGTCCCGTTGGTAAATAGAGTGCATCGTGCTACCTCATCGGCGGGCCCCTACTTGGGTGGTAGTTGTCACTTCGCTTTTCTGCGATGACCTTGGCGAGAAGGAACTTGACCTGACACCGTCCTGCTGGACACTGCCGGTCTCACAGACCACCTGTGAGCTACGCTGTGCAGATGCTTCCAACGCAGGGCCACTGAGGTGAGAACTTCAGGCCGTGACCGCCTCGGTGAGACTGTGCACTCTCTGACTCCTGGCCTCAGAGTAGCATCGGATTAATTGGAAGGTCGATGCTTTTGCACGGTTCGGTCACAGGCTTCTTGCTGATTCTATCTCCTTCCGCCATGGAGCTATAATTCCTGGGAAGGCATCTGGGTGGGAGCACCTCGGGGAGGACTCCACCGTGGAAAGCTCATCTGCGGCTGCTGACAGAGGTACAGGTGGGCAAGTGGCCTCGAGGCTCCCTCTTCCTGTGCTCACCTCAGTGACCTGCGGCAGTTGGAGCCCAAGTGCACCTGCTCACGGACCTGGGAGTTTGTAACAGATTCATCTTCAAGCGCGACTATAGAGGGGACCGTAGTGACCAATCCTACCCAGGCCTTCATGGCAGTCTGCAGCCCCAGACCCCGCCTTCCGGTCCTCTGGCATGGTGGTTGCGGCCCACCCAAACGGTTGATGTTGGAAAGAGGTTAAGGCAAGGGGCACAAGTGGCCTTGACCTGCTGACCATAGGGGATCTTCAGGCTGAACTCTGCTTTACCAAAGTGCCTGGATAACTGGGAAAAATGAGAGTGGGACTGTATCTGGGCACCCTGGGAACACTTTCATTCCTAAGACACTCAACTTCCATGAAATGCAAATTCTCCAGGTCTGAGCTCTATTTTATATTAAAGCACAAGGGGATACTGTGTATGTTCTTAGAGTGTGTGTTCATTGGGGGGTTCTTAAGCTTAGTCCCGGGGGCCATAGGCCCCTCCCTCCAGCCAGAACCCTGTGGCAAGGGAGCCCTGTGCTTATTACCAAGATGGCTGACATCAGAATCCTGAACCACCATTATATCTTGGTCTATTCGTCGCTGTTAAGGAAGGAAGAAAAATTCTGTGTGCCAACAGCTCGGATATGCTGTTGACTAACCCACTTGGTACTCAGAGCCTTCGAAACACTACTTTTAAAACATTTAAAACTCATGTCCTGGGGTGTGGGGTTTTTTCTTGTGTTTTTTTTTTTAATAATGAGACTTGGGATTTTTTTTTTTTCTTCAGCAAGAGTGGGAGCATGTGTGTGGAGGATGATTGGGGGCTGAGGGACAGAGAATCTTAAGCAGGCTCCATGCCCAGCACAGAGCAGAGGCCACTATGGGGCTCAGTCCCACCACCTGAGATCATGACCTGAGCTGAAATCAAGAGTCGGGCACTGAACCAACTGAGCCACCCAGGTTCTCCACCGCTGAAGATTTTATTTTATCATTTTTTTAATAGAAATGGCTTTACTTTAAAAAAAAAAAAACTTTATTTATTTATTTGAAAGAGAGACAGAGAGAGCATGAGAGAGGAGAAGGTCAGAGGGAGAAGTAGACTCCCTGTGGAGCTGGGAGCCCCATGCAGGACTTGATCCCAGGACCCAAGCCACCCAGGCACCCTAAAGATTTTTTTTTTAAGATTTATTTATTTATTTATTTGACAGAGATCACAATTAGGCAGAGATGGGAGGAAGGGAAGCAGGCTCCCTGCTGAGCAGAAAGCCCGATGCGGGGCTCGATCCCAGGACCCTGGGATCATGACCTGAGCCGCAGGAAGAGGCATTAACCCACTAAGCCACCCAGGTGCCCCAAGATTTTATTTTTAAGTAATCTCTACACCCAGTGGGGGTTTCAACTCACAACCCCAAGATCAAGAGTCGTGTGTTTTCCCAACTATGCCAGCCAGGTGTCCCCAGACATGTGAGGATTTTATTAGATGAGATTACTGATTGGAACAAAATGCTCCCCTGTCTGTGGTCAGATTCTGCCATAGTTTACTTTTTGCTACATTGTAGTTCTTCAGGTGATCTTTTTCTGTCACTGCACAATACTATTTCCTATTACTATTGACACGGTTAGTTTTTTTTTTTTTTTTTAAGATTGTTTTTCTTTTTTAACTTAGAGAGCATGAGTGGGGATGGGGAGGAGCAGAGGGAGAGAGAAAGAGAAAATCCCAAGTAGACTCCGCACTGAGCACTGAGCCAAGCACGGGGCTCGGATCCCAAGGCAAGGCTCAGTCCCACAACCCCAGGAGCATAACCCGAGCTCAAATCAAGAGTTGGATGCCCAGCGGACTGAGCCACCCAGACACCCTAAGGTCGCTTGTTTAAGGCATCCTATCTCCCATCAGAAAGATACTGCTTGAAACTAATGTAATCTGTATGTTAACTGGAATTAAAAACTTAAAAAAAAGATATTACTAAGACAGCCTTTCAAGACTTGATTCTGGCCCATCCCATAAGTAACACTGGTCTCCGGTCTCCAAGGACAGTCTTACTTTTAAAGACTGCATCCCCTCGTCAGACGTACCCAGAACTTCGGTTTAGAAAGCTGTCACTGCAGCCATCCTGAGTCCGATTGGCCTCCCACAGGACCACCAGCGTGTCTGCTCTGGGCGTGTGCAAGTGCCCTGGGGCATGAAGGGCGCAGGCCTGGCCCATGCTCTCGCTCCTCCCCTGGTCTGTCCTCTGCTGGGGAATCAAAGGGCACCAGGTGCCCCTCCTGCTGTGTCCTCCCTTTCAGGCCTGTTGACCACGCCTGGGAGCCATTTCCACGGTCGGCTGGGTTCCTGGGGCGCGGGGTGTTCTCTTCTGCCTTGAGCCACTGGCACGCACCCGCCCCTCCAGCTAGAGGCTGAGGGGAGCACATTTCCTTTCCCATTTCCACCACTGCTCTCAGTCGGCCTGAAACTGGAAATAACCCTACTTGAGGCTTCTGCGCCATGACACCGCTGCTGCCTCCAAAGCGACTCCCGCTGTGGGCCTGCGAGCCGGTGCGGGAGAGAATTTCAAAGTTGCTGTGGGCTGTGGAGGTTGGGGC